CCCCCCCCCCCCCCCCCGTATAAAAATGGTGTGGTTAATAATGAGCATTAACTGTTGGTACCATCAGCAAGAAAACAAATTTGTTCAGTTTATCATCATCCTTATAACTTCATCAAAAGGGGAAAAAAAGAAGTATAGCCTGACAATGGTGTGAAAAATGACAATTTTTGCTTTTTTTAGTTGTTTTTGTTGTTTTCTCTTTCCTGTAGATGGCAGATTATCAATTTCAACTTTAACCACACAAAAAAAAAACTTTTGAGAATATTTTGAACAAGACTAAATGGAACCAATTTATTTATAAATACAATCTGTTTACTTTGGCAACTAAAACTCAGTAAAGCAGTTAAAAAAAAAAAAGTTCCACACAAAACTCCTTGATATATTTTTGTCGTAGACCGATTTACGTCAGTAAAGATTTGTTTTCTTTTCTGTTCATTCATTTCTGCTTCTCCAATTTTTTTCCAATTTTTTTTCACTTCTAAGTCTCTCTACAACAACTCACAATAACAAAAAATAAATAAATAAATAAATAAATAAAAAGAATTTTAAGAAGTTAAGAAAAAAAATTTTTTTTGAGCTACCAGAATAAACCTGATGTTAGTAACAAAACTTTTTTTTCAAAGTTATACATACGCGGAAAAAACTGAAAGCTTATATAAAGTTGTTTAAAAAGGAATTTTCTTCTATTTTACATCTACTTAAATTTTCCAACAAAAAAAATCTAGAATATTGCCAGAACAAAAGTGATACCAAATTGAATAAAACGTAGAAAAAAAAGCAAAAAATTTTAAATGTTCATTCAACTGATAACCAATTTTTACAAATTATTCACTGATGATAAATCTATAGCCTAATTGTCCAATATTTAAAGAGATTGATTTAAGCATCAAATGAAGTCAAAGAAACTAAAAAAAAGCACATACACAAAAATACTATCAAATCTCTATAAACTTCAATATTTTAGTGCTTTTTTTGGAAAAAATAAGTTGACGTCTATGATATCAATCATTTTGGGTGACTGCTGTGGGACGAAACAGATAAACATCAACTTTTTTTTTTTTCTAAACAACTGGCACCAGTTTCACCGCTTTTACAAATCCTTCCAAGATACACATATGTTTGAACAATTACT